TTAAACATTAAGGTACGTGTATATTTTAGGATTGTTGTCCTGAAAAATATCTTGGTTAAAAGTTTTGCTATTACGACAATGTGTCATTAATTTGTCAAAATAATTATATGTTGACTTGTTTTAAAAAATACCAAGGGAAAATTAAAACAAAAATCATCATAGCATGTAACAAGAACTAATAAGTCTGAAATACATGTTTAACTTATAAATTTTAATAAATATTTAAACTTATAAACGAGAAAATTACTTTATAAAAGACTTTTTGTAGTTAGGAGAGAATAATAGATTTGAGAAAAATCCTTACTTGTCAATGTCACCTTCGGTGGAAACATTCATCACGGACCTAAACGATATGGGGCCAACGCCATACTGAGATTCTTCTAATTAAATACAAGCGTCAACTACAGGCACTAGTGTTACTACACTACTATTGTTTATTTTTCATAACTATTCCTAATAATAGGTTGGTGGTTTAGCAGAGAAATAGGCAAGAGCACCAACAAAGGGTGCATTGATGTACGTTGCTGGCTCTGACTGCTGATAGTTGTTTCGATCATCGGAGAAGTTATCATTGCTATCAGGACCACCTACGATGGCTCCAACAAGCTCATTTGGATTGGGAGAGCCTGCATACAGATATTGAAACCCCTCGTTGCAGGAAATGTGCTGAGTCCTGGAACGAACCGAAGGTAGAGAGGAACCTCTGTGATGGACATGCTTTGGGTAATTCTCCCCAAAACCCACCATATACGACATCTTTCTTGGATTATCGCCTAAAATGTAGTCAACTTGTGTTTTGGCTAGTGTTACGAGGTTTTCACCCGTGACCGTTGAAGTCCCACATCTGACAACGCCCCCGTTTGCAGAAAGATACTTAGCGTATGTCAACAGAAGGAGACTCGTCGATGTCACATACTGCAAATTGCTCTCACTCCCCTTGTAAAGAAGCCCCCCTGCACAATTTCACAGTAAAATGATTCACTAAAAACGTCAAATAAAACAATGAATCATGACTTTTTATTAAAGACAACAAATTTTTTTCTTTGCTGAATTAAAGATTTTGTTAGTCGTACGGTAAATAGTAAAAAAAAGAATTTTTGTGTCTGTGAAAATATTATTACCCTCCTTTTACTTTCTCAATAATTTTTCCAAGGACTATAATATATTTTTCTAAAGAACCATCATTTTTCTAAAGAACCATCAGGATAAATATTAAATAATCGAGAATTTTTACCTCGGGTGTACTGAGCCTGAGAACCAGGTATTCCAGACATTAGCGAACAGATGTAATTATCTGAATGTGCCTTGTATAATTGGAACTCTTCTGAATTTTTCTCCAAGAATTCCTGACATCGAGTCCATGCAAAATGAACTTTGTAAGTGACACATATATACAAAGTTTGATGGCATGTAGGGTCACATAAAATGAATTTAGAATCTCCTTGCAACCTAAAATCAATTTGTATGTTTAACTTTTATCTGGTCTATTCTTCAAAAGGTAAATGTTTTACAAGTTTATTTTGTTTATGAAAAAAGTTCAGTTTTTTCCCCTAAATATAAAAAATCTATCTACAGGAAATTTGAGTTGAAAGTAAACAGAGGGTACCTTGGAAAGGAGGATTTTAGTTCCGGGTCGCTTGTCATCCCAGCTGAAGGAGAAACCATCATCATCAGCACCTAAAATGTGGCCATTGGATCGAATATATTGCATGTATGAGCTAGTTCCTGAGGCTTTATAAATCCATGATGCACCCCACAGAAGTTCATCCTATTTATTTAGCATTTACAACAAAAACAAGTCCAATCAGAACCCATGTATTCGTGCCACATGTTTCATTGTTACAAATATAATTAAGATTTTGAAGCTATGTGAGCCTTACATGGTATCCGGAGTAAGAGCAGTAGAATGGACAGACAACAGAACCAAGAGAATCACTGTAAGAACCCCTGTAACGGTCTGCAAAATTGAATACCTGAAAAGAAACATTCAGATTGATTAATTGGACAATTAACATACAGAACACTTTAGCTAGCAAGAAATGAAAATGGAGGAACAGTTTTTTTATATTTATTAATTACTTTGATGGCTGCTTGAAGCAATTTGGAGGAATACGCTGGATCCGAATCTCCGAATACTATTGAAGAAGCTGCCAGTGCAGCTGCTGTCTCTGCTGCTACATCCGATCCTGGGTTTTGAGCTGATACCTTATACACATTGCGTGGAGTGTCCATATCTTCAGGCCTTTCCCAACACTTGTGATCCATGTTCGGGTCTCCTACCTGCATTAATCAACCTCTCGTTCATTTCTAGCAATTTCTTTCATGGTTTCTCTTAGAAATTTTGCACCAAACTAAGCATGGAACTTAATTTGGTGGCTGTTAGATAAAGTATGCTCACTTGGACATATAATGTGTCAGGGGTGGTGGTGGCAGCCTTAAGAAGGTAATCTGTGCTCCAGCGGATAGCAGCTCTAGCGTTTTCAATCTGGTCCATCATTGAGCTTCCAAATTCAATCACACTCCACGCTAACAATGTTGTAGTAAAGGCCATCGGCAACCCAAACTTAACGTTATCTCCAGCATCATAATAACCACCGACCAGGTTTACCTGAATTACAACATTAATCGTTATTAAACTCTCAGTGAGCAAAACTATACGACAGTTTAGTTTAAAATTGTAATTACATATAAATGTATATACATGATAAGAAGAGCCGTCGGACAATCCAGAATCTCCCCTCCATGTTAGTCGCTGGTTGGAAGGCAATTTTCCAGACCGTTGTCCCTCAAAGAAGAGAATGGATTTCTCAAGAGCCTCCTGGTATTCTTGAGATGTGAATGCTAAGCTTGGTTGATGAAACGAAAAACATAATATTAACAACAGAAAGTGTAACATCAGTGAAAATGTGGTCGCAGAAGCCATTCCTTTTCGCATGTGCACTTGTGAGACAGACAGAATTAGAGGCTTCAGAGAATTGAGTGATGGTTTGTTTATATTTATAACGTGGGACATGGGAGATTAGTTAACTAGTCATCGGGTATATATGGATTAATTAACACCAAATTAATTGTTTCAAAAGTTGTCATTTTCAGTGGTAATATTGGACTCACAGAAGATTTTTTTCGTTTCGTGGTTTAAAAGGAAGGGTTGGATAGGTCACATGATGAACTGCGGCAAACGGGGCTAGCAGAAAGTCCAAACATGTGACTGCTTTATGGAACACTTGAGCTGAAGATAAGCCATTTTGTGGTGAATACATTGAAAATAAATGGACGTTTGATTAGGATATAGTAGTTATGTTACTGTGGTTATTATTGGCGAAACTTACGCCAGGAAATTGGACTTAAAACTAGTTAGAAGACGGGTATCTTGGAGAAGTGAAATTTGTCTGTAGCAAAGGGAGGAAGTCACGGACACAAAAATAGGAGTCACATGAGGAAATGAAGGAGTTGACGGCCAGGAGTACGTAGCGAAAGAGAGACGGGTGCTGTAGAAGGTTTGCATGAGAACATTTTAATGAATATAGAAATGCCAAAGAACCAATAAGAAGAACCATGATGTGTATCACGTGACAGGGATGTTCACATGAATGGTCAAGGATTCGTGCATTTTTCGGTGGGAAGAGAAAAGAGATGCATCTTCTGTGAATTGCATGAGAGAGGAAGAAGATGTGCTCAACACTTTTGTTTATTAAATTCTAAATTTTGAAATTGGATTGCCATTTGATTTACAGCATCCGTGATTTCAGAAAGATGGACCGGACTTATCCCAACAACCGCTGATTTAACAACAGACTCAGCACACTGCGGAGCCTACCAATCAATCGTATAAGCAGTCGTTAGTATTTTAGTAGGAAAAATTATTTACGACAACAAAAGTTCATCTATACTCCTACAGAGTAAAAGTATCAAGTTTATAAAATATATGATGTGATAAGAAGAAAGATAGAAAGAAAAGCTAAGTGCTTAATAAATGTATATAAAATAAAAATGAATGCATTGGCATATCAATTCTTTTTCTACTTCAAGATTATTGAAATTCATTTTTTTTTCATACAAAATACCAACAATAAATATGTTATTAAAAACGTTATTTCATCCTCTACAAACACAAATATTATATTATTTAATTTAAGAGAAAACTAGAAATATATATTATTACATTAAAAATTAAGATCGTCACCAAATTTTAAAAAATCTAAGCTTTTAGTCATTTTGAGAGAAAAGTAATAGATCTTACTTAAAATTCTATTTAGGTGTTGCAAATACAAAAATTCCCACAATTAAAATATTTAGAGTAAATTAAATATAAAAATTAATATTTCGAAACATAAATCAATTTGAATTTTTTTGAATCGGTGAAAGTTTAGAACGTTGGTATTCTTTATAAATACTTTAGTCTAGCACATCACGAAAGTAATATGAAATATATATATATATATATATATATATATATATATATATATTAAAAATTATATAGAAAATAATAAAAATTATTACAATAATTAAACTTTAACTAAATAAAACAAAATGATAGAAGACAAGCATATCTAACACATAATCACTAGTTTCGCTAGTATATATTAATCCTATTCAATTTGTAAGCAAAATTATTTGTTAAGAAAATACACAAAGTACTCAATGTACAAACTTTATCATTTCTAACAATCTTATCGAATCTAAACAGATTTTTTTTATAAAATATTTTTCGTCTATATAAAAAAAATCAAATAAATGTAATAAACCCTTCAAAATTAATACTAACTTTCCTTTTTCAACAACTACTTTACTTTGTCAAGTTTTCAACTGCTTATGCAAAATATAATTTGTTTTATAATTTTTTTATATCATGCTCTCTTTTATTTATAAAAGATACCCATCGTTGGGAGATGACGGAGACTCCACAGGCGATTTTAATTCCATGCTTTGCTAGCAAATCAAGCTTTCATTTCCTCGGTTTTATGCTCAATTATTACAGGGGGTGAGAGAGAACTTGAAAATAATAGCATCAACACGAACAGGAGATTTTTTTGTACAATGTAATTCAGTAAGGATAATTCCGACCATAACATACATCAGAATAAAAATCACTGAGTTCAGAGAAATCAATAGGGTAGTGAAAATCCTAAATTACTTTTTCACATGCAGTGGTGTAAGTTCCACATCTTTCTATGGTGGTGTACAGCATTACAGATATCATAATTAAAAATTCTTGGTATAAATATCAGCCTAATCTTGCTTCTCTTTGTAGCACCTGGTAGGTAGAAACCGAAAACGAAACTATCAGTTTATAATTTAGCTATCAGCATGCGTACACGTAACAAGTAAAAGCAATGGAAGTATACCTCTTCAGCAAATTTTATCAAAATTGTCGTCCGTGGTCGTTGTTGACCTTCCATAGGCACAAAATGCGCAGTTACAACAGCCGGAAATCCGGCACCGTCCAAAACGCCCTACATTGGTAGATGAAACAAAACAAAACTACTGATTGGATCTTTCTGTAAGGATTAGATAACCAGATGACAGTAACTGAGCAAGAAAAAATACTTACCCGTACTATTCCAGCAACAAATGCTCCACAGTTAAACGTCCCCATGTCCTTTGGGATAGAAATGAATCTATAAAGCAGAGATCCATACAAGCTCACAACTAATTGATGAACAAAAATATATTATGTAAAAGTCAAATAAAATGTCGATACTGAAATTACTTGTTTACTAGAAGCTCTTTTTCACTAATCATGTATTCATCTTCATGTTCGGTTCCTTTCTCCAGTGAATCAGCTACCTAATATAAGAAGAAAAGCATTGAAACTTAAGGAGCTACTAAAAAATTAAGATAGTTGCCAACTTAACGCATTCCAAGGAAAAAGAGTATATGACATGAAAAAACATAGTAGAATAATTAGTGCTCTATTATTAAAAACAAATGGTATCAAAGCTCCATTGGGTTCAAGCTCGAGTCATATCTCTTACATCATAACTACAAGATATATTGCCTAGGCAGGTATTGGACTATTCGAACAGCTAACGCAC